GTATGCATGACCTCCTTGGCCTGGAAAGTGTAATGATTAATGTTTCAACATTATTCAACAATATATTTACTGTCAGCAATATTGTGTATGACATTTTTGCAATAATTAAATTGCACTGCCTATCATGTATTGGCCACCCTGCTCTCTGGATGTCAACATTGGCATCAGCCATTGAAAAACTACTTGGTACAAACATTATAATCCCTCAGAAATTATTGTAAATGTTAACAGTTAAATAACTAAATTGCTACAACAAGGTTAAAGGTAAATGACAAAACAAGTTTGGCAACACTGAACTTTGCATCAGTGCTAAACAGAGGATCAGTATTTCCTTAAGCTCTACAGGCCGCATTATGAAATACCAATTTCATAATATCAAAAGTTTGTGGTCAATATGATTTTGTAATGTTTTTGACAGTCTCTTACGCTCACCAAGGCTGAAATTACTTGATCAAAAATACAGTAAAACGGTAATACTGTGAAACATTAGTACAATTAAAAATAACTGTTTCCTATTTTAATATATTTTAAAATGTCATTTATTCCCTGATGGCAAAACTGAATTTTCAGCATCTTCAGTGTCACATGATCCTTCAGAAATCATTCCAATACGCCGATTTGCTGCTCAAGACACATTTATCATTATTATCAATGTTGAAAAACATACTTTTTTCAGGATTGTTGCAAGAATTAAGTTGAAAATAACAGCACTTATTTGAAATAGTAATATTTTGTAACATTAAAAGTCTTCACTGTCAATTTTAATAAATTTAATGCATCCTTACTGAATAAAAGTATTAATATCTTTTAAAAAATGATGCCAAACTTATGAATGGTAGTGTAAGTTTAAAACAAAATCAACTAAAAAACAACTGAAATATTTATTAAAATAAAAAAAGGGGTTATTAAAAAACCTATTTATATGTAAATATCAAACATTAACTGAAAGAAAATTAAACACTATAATCATGCCTGTTTCATTTTTACATGAAAACAAAATAGCATTACACATAACTTCTACTACTCTATGCACTAAATATGTATTCCATGATGGGCCATTTTCTATATATCCATGACAAATTATGTTTTAATTTGAAAGCCAACTATAACACATTGTTTTATTTTCATTTTTAAACACTTTTAAGCAAAATAAGTGAAATCAAATTGAAAGATTTAAATGTGTCAAAAATGCTTAAAAAGAGTTGTATTGCTTATGTTTGTTGTTTGACAATCAAATAATGCTATTACAAAACTGGAATGAATAAAACAGAGACTTCTCACTTTATAAAAGCGAAAAGCAATTAGTTATAGATTTCTTTTTTAACAGTAAAACTTATTTTTCTTGTCTTTAATAAATGACACGAGTCTATACAGAGTTAAATATCTCAGTATGGTGAAGTCAATGACATGGTAACAGAGTTAATGATTCATAAAAAGTGTGCAGCAAGTAATCTGTACAGTGCTGCACCTTTGAGTTTAAACAATGATGGCTACAGAACAGGTGTGTCTGAATAAAACATCTCAATCATTTTCCCACCCATACCAGTTAAACCTCTCTGACAGAGTGGTCAGAAAATATGTTTTTCTGACACCACTAGACCAAAAGCTTACAAAAAGAAACATACCTGCCCGCATAGAGCCCTTTCTGGCCAGTCGAAGGAGTCCTTTCTTCTTTAAGATGAAACTACCGCCAATAAATATACTGGAACTTATAGCCAAAGCGAGGCCTATATAGAAATCGTACTTTCCTCTGTCTTGACCCATAGTGCTGTCGGTAGAGTTTCCTCTCGTCACATTGGCATACACACACCAAAGATTCAGTTCAGAGGAACAGTCTTGGCCAACTGCAAAACCTGGCAAGAAAGAAAAATACAAATCATAATGTTGGAATTAAGTTCCAGTGAGTTCCTAGTTGGGGAAAAAAAAATACAATTATCATACCATTTTTATAAGAAACACTACACACATTGCAGCTCAAAAGATCTGAGGTTACATTCATGACAACACACACACACACTGCTCAGAGGGAGAATGAAGAATGATAGTGTGTGTGTAATGCACAATAAGTGACATCATAAGCAGTACAGGAAATGACACCATAAACCACTACTGCTCGAAGTCCTATTAGTTACATATGATGACATGAGGAAAATATATCAGCATATATCAATAGGGTTCAACCTAGTGACAAAGGCTCACTTTGTTCAAAACCTCCATGACTTTCGTCTATTCCATACAACGAAAGTGAATGGTGACTGAGATTGTCATTGTGCCTCTCTATGTATGTGTTCACGGATGTTAAGCATTTAGGTTTGGATCAACATAAGGGTGAGTGAATAATGACAGAATTATTATTTTGGGTGAACTAGCACTTTAAGAAACCATACACGAGCATACAGTTGATCCAGCAAACTTTACAGTACAATTAAGAGCGCTTGCTGACTCGTACAACATCCCATGTCCATTTTACTCAAGTATAAACAAGTTATCTTATAAGAGTCAGTGTTTGGTTGTCGCGACATTAGGCGAGATCTTCTTGACATGATGACGATTACCTTATTCATACAGCCAAACCCAGCCGGATAGCATAGCCAATTAGCTCCATAATTCACAGCAAAACACACGCGTGGCTAACGGAGGTTATGAAGTCATTCACAATAACGTACCTAGTTGTGTTGCTGTGATCAGCTCGACATCGTGTCCAGTCGCTGAGATTTCACGGTTCTAACTTTAACATTTTCTCGCGACCATGAGATTCAGACGCGATGTTGACGCGAACCCATCCATGTACGTACGTCCACCTACACTCACTGTAGCGATGTCCGATTCGTGAGAGAATCGTTTTATTGAGTTGAATATTTTTAATGAATCAATCGGTTCACCAAACAGTCTGAACAATTCTTCCTTTTTTTTTTACTGCCAATGTAAAAATATACACATATCGACAAAAATATACTGGATCCTTTAACAAAATAAATTAAAAACGCATCACATGTTTACCATCTTAAGAGTTTTGGAGTTAGAAGATGAAATATCAAGGATATATTGCTCAATGTATTTTTCAAAGACAATGAGAATGAAAAGAGGCGTTTGATGACTTACTTTACTACGATGGATGTGAAATTTGGCAAGGAACAGTAAAAGATGAATTATAAAATACCTGTAAAATACTCATTCAATTGGACTGAATCGGTCCGAGCGATTCTCTAGCCACCGATTCATTGAACCGAGAACTCATTCGGACCTGTCCACCTTGTAATGATCAGAGTTAAGTAAGAGCATTTGAAGTGAATTGAGGATTTGACTGATGGGGTAACGTTAGAATGTTACAAATAAATCAATAAAACGACCTGGAAATATGTTTGAAATATTAACTTTGTTTTGTGATTTTATCAACACTTTTATCAACACAACAACAACTTTTATCTACTTTTTAACAAAATGAATATTACATAATGTTTCATGTAAATACAAATTAAATTTAGGTTCAAAATTGCTTAAATGAGCTGAATCATACGCTACGCCGGTTGCCAGGGACATGATGCCGTAATTACGTCATGACGTCAAAGAATCACTGAATTGTTCAAAAGAGCCGAAAGGAGTCAGAATCAGTACAATGAAAGCGGAAGCGGGCGCGCACGCGCGGAATCTCTTTTGATTGGTCTTTTGTCGTCTTACGTCTTGTTAAAGTCTTCCTTTCATGTGTTTAAACATTGTAACCAAATGCAAAGTGCGTTTTGATCATCAGTATGAAAGTTTGGGTTAGTTATAATAAATCTGAAAAGGCCCCCTCCTCACCTAATATCAAAGTGTAAAAGTGCTTAATGTTGAGCTAGTGACGTAGATGTACATAGGTAAACGTCGACTCAGGTGCAGTAACCAGAGATTCACTCTTGACACTAAAACAACATATATTCTACAGCTAATCAAAACAACTATACAAATGTTGTAAATTATAACCAAACGTGAAATATGTTATTAACATATATGGAAATATAGGGGAAACTTCCGACTGATTGTACAAACCACACAATAAACTCTTTCGGGTCTGTTTTCATCCGGCAAACATTCACATCGTGTATTAAACGATAAAATCTATTAAAATAAAACGTTGCTTTAAAGATATTAAAGGGGTAAACTGTAAATACAACAAAAATGCCCCTAATGGAATATATAAAACAACGCACAACTTACTCTGGGATTAAAATGTTTTCCGTTCTTTGGTGGGACGGGATCAGGATACAGTAGGAAAGTCCATCGAATAGAAAGCCAACCGTTGTGTGGAAAGATAAAAAACCAGCCCCTGCTGGCCGTTATCTTGCCATGCTTTCAATTACATTAAATAATTGATGGCAGACTGACCAAAACTGTCACCATAGTTATTCCAGACGGAAATCCTGCCAGTGTTTTTTTATATAACATGAAAAACATTAATATTACATTTTTTATTTACCTGGTTAATATATATATGTATATATATATATATATATG